TGTATGTATGTATGTATGTAGTATGCATGTGTTTCCTTACGGTGTTTGCATACACCTGCATCTTTGTCTACATCTGCATATGCATCTATGTATGCACACCATACGTGTGCATATACATGTGCATCTACGCAACAATTGAGTTGCTTGCTGGCGGCCTTTCTTGTGTTCCTTGGTTTGTAGATGCAGAGCAGCCCTGTCATATAGATATCTCGATGTCTAGCGCGCCGGGCGACTACCCGGTCAAAGGCAGTACTTGGAGGATCATGAGACTTAGTAAGTAAGGTTATAAGTCCCCTAATTGTGGTTATAAGTATAGTTACCTTATTTACAACCCTATTACTAAGTCCCATGATCCTTTAAGTAGTCACAGCATCCTCAAGTCATCCCTTACATTCTGGGGTTTAACGTTCAGAGTTCAGGGCTGTACCTTAGCTCCCCAATACCCAACCTTTAAACTTAATGTTTCTAGGTTTTTATAGTTTAGTAGTAATCTGAAAGTTTAACCTTCTATTTCCGTGGCTTGTTGAGGGAAGCAAGGTACCGTCGCAATTGCGAGCTAAGCCTCTAGCATTCCTGACATCCTACTATCTGCCCTCAACTCACTTACGCAAAGGCTCCATGTACCTTTATAGTAGATACTTAGGGCTTAAAGGGGTCCCTATATAGGTACCTTAAGGCCTAAGTATCTACTATAAATGTACATGGAGCCCTTGGCTTAAGGGCTCTTCCCGAAGAGTGGGTCTCGGACTCTCTGGGCAGGTCTCGGAGGAGAACGGCCATTTCTTCAAGGCAGGAAGCCACCAGGGTTTAGGGTTTAGGGTTACACTACAAGCCCTACATGACAGCACTAACCCCGCATGCCCTCCAGTCCTAAACCCAAAACCGCTTGCACCCTAACACCCTTTGAGCCCTAAACCCCACGACCTTACCTGGAGGATCATGGGACTTAGTAAGTAAGGTTATAAGTCCCCTAATTGGGGTTATAAGTATAGTTACCCTAATTATAACCCTACTTACTAAGTCCCATGATCCTTTAAGTAGACCCGCAAACCCCTCCATGTGCCTTGACCGACACTGTGTCCGAAGCCTGTCGTCATAAAAAACACAGCTGCTTCTTGGGGGTTCCTTATTCCGGGTTTTTTTATAATTGGGGTTTTTAGGGTTTAGAGTTTAGGGTTTCCTTTTGTGTGGCCTTAATACAGCATTTTTTTTGTTGTCTTCTAAGGGGTTGGGGTGCAGGCTTAGAGTGGCTAATCTTTATGGTGATGCGAAGAGCTCACGAGCAGCATCGGGGGTTTTCTGAGAGGTTGGTTTTAAGGATTCCCGTCAGGGTTCCACAGTTGTACTACTCATACTTGGTCTTGGGTTTAGTTTGTAGGGCTTTGGTTAGTCCCTAAACCCTAAACCCTAAACCCTAAACCGTATTTGGTCATAATCCCCTAATTGTAGTTCCAATCTTTTCTCTTGCTTTTTTTGGTGGGATCCGAACCGGAAAGCTGGTAAAAAAGGCACTACAATGTGTGTCGTGCGCTGTTGCACAGATGGCTGCGGCACTCTAAACCCTGAAACTCGGAAAGGTCTTTGATGCGGGCAATTAGGGTTTAGGGTTTAGGGTTTAGGGCAGGATTGCCCTAAAACGCCAAAACCCTGAAGCCCTAAACCCCTAGACCCCCAAACTACA